GATCAAAATAGATGAATGAAAAACTAGTTAAGGTTACTATTTTTTGTTACAATGGTTCTCTTTCTGGTTCGTTTGATGTCTTCCTGCCGTATCGAACACAATGCCTAATACTCCCTCCGTTCGTAAATATAAGTCTTTGTAGAGATTCCACTATGAACCACATACAGATGTACATAAATGCATTTTAAGTGTAGATTCATTTATTTTGCTCCGTATGTAGTCCACCTAGTGGAATCACTAGAAAGACTTATATTTCGGAACAGAGGGAGTATTACAAAAGTGCTACACGATTCGGCATGCGCTTAATTTCAATCAGAATTAATAAGAATATCTCACTAGCCGTCAGCTAATTTCTTATTCTAGTACTAATTCTTTGTTGTGTGTTGATTCTAAGAAAGACCTAATGGATTTTTGTTTTGCCAGAATAGAGTCAATGGATTTAAAGATTTCCCTTTAAGAAATACTCCTTATGTCCGGAATTATTGGTCGCGGAAATAAATGTATCTAGACGTATTTTAATTCTAGATACATTTATTTTTATCTATTTTTACAACAAGTAATTCGGGACGGTGGGAGTACTAGACAGATGATGCTTTTCGATGGAACATGCACTCAGTTTACTATTTGATTACAATTCACAAAAGAGAAGTTTATTGTTTCAATACTATGTTTACTCTTAGCATTACTATATAATATATATTTCAACTATTGGATATAACACATATTTGAAGCTATATATTAAGTGAAACTATGTCTAATTATATTTGCAATACTTTTTTTTTTGCTAAATTGAGGGCCTCATTTCGCATTTCGCACCGGGGCCCCGAATTCCTGGAGACGGCCCTGTTGGGCCACACACATCATTGTGTATAAGCTCCAACAGCTCGGACGCCCTCGCGCAACTTTTTGCGAAAGGAGACTTAGTCATCTTGCCAAGCAAGCATGATTCACATGTCTCGAACAACCCGAAGTCGAACGAAGTTAGGAGTCCATCATCATGGAACTTCTTCATGCGTTTCAGACTAATGTGTCCAAGCCGGCAATGCCAGAAGTATGTCGGATTTATCTCATTAGGCTTATGCCTCTTGAAATTCACGTTATAAACTGGTTCCTGTTCCAGATTCAATATAAATAGCCCATCAACAATAGGTGCATAGCCATGGAACATACCATTCAAATAAAATGAACAACCATTGTCCTTTAAACTGAATGCATAACCCTGACTCATCAAACATGAGGCAAAAATAATGTTCCAACTAAGTGCAGGAATGTAATAACAATTATTCAATTCCAAAATAAATCCAGAAGGAAGCTGGAGCTGCATCGTGCCGACCTCCAATGCAGCAACTCTTGCTTTGTTGCCGACCCTGATGTCAATCTCCCCTTGTGACACACGCCTAGTTCTTACCAGCCCCTGCATCGAGTTGCAAATGTCAACAACTGATCCGGTACCAAATACCCAAGAGCTACTAGGTATGTCAGCAAGGTGAATCTCTATAACATATGCAACAAGTGTACCTTTTCCTGAAGCAGCATTCCCGGCCTTCTTGCCATGCTCTGCAAGCCACTTGCTATAGTTCCTCTTACAGTGACCAGTTTCCTTGCAGTGATAGCAAATGGTCTTTGAGTCCGGTCCAGACTTCAGCACAGCGGCAGAGGTTACCATCTATGTGCCCTTGGCCTTAGCCATTTTCTTTGACCAACTCTTCTTGAACTTAGCCGATTTCTGCACCATCAAAACTTAATGCGTGCCTTTCTTAATATCCTGCTATGCCACCTTGAGCATCCCATGCAATTCAGTGAGCTTCTTATCCATGCTATGCATATGATAGTTCGAGATGAATGTCCCAAAGCTAGACGAAGGAGAACCCGGAACAGCATCAGTAGCCAGCTCATCCAAGAGCGGGAAGCCCAACCGATCCAAAGGTTACACGTATCCGATCATCTTGATCACATGCGGCCTTAGTGGATCACCTTCCTTCAGCTTGCAATCCATCAAGGATCGCCAGACGTTGAACCTCTCAATCATAGCAGGTACTTGAAACATGCTCTTGAGACTCTCGATCCATATCGAAAGCCCCAACATCTTCGAAATGTTGTTGCAAGTTGGGGTCCATACAAGCCAGCATGAGGCAGCTGATCTCTGTTTGATTCATCAACGAGTTTCTGCTAGGCATTCTTGGTTGTGGCATTTGCATTATCGGCAGGTTCCTTTGGAAGTGGATCCTCTAGAACATGTTCCTTTTTATCATGCTTGTGAACAATTCACAAATTTCTATACCAGGTGGTAAAGTTTGTTCCATTCAGTTTAACCTTTTCCAGAATTGATTTCAATAAAGAGTTGGGTTGAGCAGGTGATGCCATTGATCTACAACAGAAAATATGCAATCACTAAGCAATGTGTTTATGTAGAGTAATTATATCCTTAAATAGAACTACTCACACTGAAGTCGGCATCCCTCCGCAAACTCTCGGTGATTCCAGATCTGACTAGCACATGCGACTAGTGAGCTTTAGCATCACTGCTAGACAACATGCCTATCCGGTAAGCAACTCCTTGCTAATCGTATCTCTATACGACTCCTATCGGTAGGGACGGTATCTTATACCCCGGCTCCCAACCTTCTTTGCCACAAGGCCCAAAACCGTTTTGATAGCCTTGTCAAGTTAACCTAATGCAGTGCATGTCCGTGTCCGACACGAACCCTTCAGTTCAAGGACACCTAGGAGTACCCCAATTTTATGAGCCCACCACTAGACATACTTGACGTGCGGAGGTGCAACATCAGGAATGGCAAGGTACTTGATATTAACGAGGGATCTTTCTATCATTCTAACATGAATAGAGAACAATAAGCATAACAATCACAAATAAATATATATTGTGAAATAGTATGGCTCCTTCATGGATGTTCTTCTAGGTCGGCTCCGACTCTGATGACCATCTAGGAACTCCATCTTGTTTGTCACGCCGGGACGCCAAGCCACGAACCCGATCTCTATAATCCAACTACAACAACTAGTAATGAATTTTACATAGAGTCACAAGTCGACACGCAAGTCGTTATACATTATAATGACATCACTTTGGCTCCTGCCGGCTGACAAACATGACGCACAGGCCATGCATAAATTACATACATGCATCACATACACATGAGCCATACTATTCACATCAAACCTGCAAAACAAAGTTACGCATAGAATCGAATTCTACCGGTTGGAGTGATCGTGTACGAAATACAAGGCGCTACGCACATGGCGGTCCCGCTCACGCCGAAGTTTCTAATCTGACCAATCTTATCGATCATCGCGAGTCCGATTCAGATTTACGTTTCATTGTTAACCTTGATGGCGGGTACTGACCGGTAGGGGTAAGTTGTGCATGAGCTCATCGACTCCGATCATCAGAAAACATAGCGACATCATTCCCCGTGTGCAGTTGATCTCATCAACGGTGCACATAGCCGATTTCCTAAATGACAACAGATCTCATATGTCGCCTCCACATATCTAATAAGCATACAATCTGAATTCAAATCTATAGCAGAGGCTCTGATACCACTGTTGGGTTCTATGGTAGGGTGCATCGACTGAAAATTAAAATTTTCCTACGCGCACAACAACTAGGAACATGCTACGGGAATGGATCACAGATTATTACCACTAGACGCGCAGTGCCGTGCAGCGGAAGAAGAGTTGGGGCAGCGTGTCAATGTTGATTGTCTCCTCCTTATCGGATCTCCCTCGAACAGCCGGTCGTCAGTTCCCACGTACAGGTTCGGCGGAGCGGCGCAAGTGGACCGCCTCTAACGGTATCCGTGAGTGCAGGAGGAACGTCGTGCGGTGGACTACTAGGTCCGATCACACAACCAGCGGCGATTGGAGGTGGCTATTCACAACACATGCAACCCCTAATGACAGCGCCAAAGCGATAAAAAAGAATCAGTGCGCCGCACCACCACTTTATATAGGCGCCCGTCATGGACCCTAAAGCACAAAATCTGGTCGGCCGGGATCCGAGTCCGAGTAGGATCACGTCTGACTCGTGGAGTCTGATCCGGCCTCACAGGATTCTTCTCTTAAGTGCGCGACCCCTTAGGTTCAAGTGACTTGGCCACAGTTTGGATCACCTCTGAACTGCACGGTTGGTAGCGGCCTCTAGCGAGGCATTCCAACCACCAAGCACATTGGTTGGCGAACCTGTACATCACACTTCCATTCCCTTTGCCACACGATATATATTTCAGGCTCAAGGCGAGTCTGTCATTCTTGTGCTAGTCTGACCTCTTTCTCGTTCTAGTGATGCCGACCACAAACCGGATTATCTCATAATCCTTGTCGCAAGGCCATGCTTATCTTGGTCGGATCACACGAGGGGCCCAGAGTATATCTCTCCTGATCGGAGGGGCTAATCATCTCACAACATGGGTCTTGACAAGCCCGAAACCTACCTTTGTAACTACCCAGTCACGGAGTAGCGTTTGATTGGTCCAAAGTAGGTCTGTCACCATCCTGAGTACATGTGTCAGCTCAGGTCTTAGGACATAGAACGTATGTTGTACTAGAGACTCACATATGACATATCGCTGCGTCTTATAGTTGGGTCTGTCTGACTTAGACCTTGTCTTGACTCGGATTGGACTACATCGAATCTGACAGATCCTTCCGAGTCCATATTATCCGGTTAGCATCCAATGCTCAATGGCTAGTGAGACCAAGCCATCGACCATGTCATATGCTAGTGTAGTTGGCTGCGCGTCTACACAACCCTTTCGACTAGGAACCTTTTAGGACAGTAATCATACAATGCATAGTCCCACAAACAAGTCATGTACTTGCTGATATACATCATTGATAATGTCCAAGGACTATCTTTATTCATAAACATAAGGAAATATCATCATACATGATTGCCTCTAGGGCATATCTCCAACATATAGCGCATATACATATATGGTCATTCCTGATTTGGCAATAAAATTTATAATCTGCGCCCCTTATGCAATCTTGTTGGCTTTCTTCATGTGGTTAGCATTGCGTGAATTCACCATAACAGCCGGGATGTGTGTGTTCACGAGGTACGAGCTCCAGTTGATGCAGGCAGGATCACAATCAAACATGGAATCCTCATTTAGCTTGTCCGTAGTGGTCGCCCATAGCTTCCTCATGTTCGTGTCATCAAAGCTTTGTAGGACACAGGGAAAGTTAGATCAGTAAAGTAAATAATGATCACTAAACAATTTGAAACATTCTCTAGCCAAGAAAAACCTTGCGGCAAAATCCATACATCCTTCATTCTAAATTAATTGAAGTTCTAGATTTGTCATATGTCAAACATTTTTAAGTTTGGCCAAGTCTATGGAAATGTATGCTAAGATGAAATCAAATATATATTGTGTGAAAATATATATACTTATAGGTGTAAGTAACTATTACACCCGAAAATACACATGTTCAACATACGTCTTGTAAGTAACGATTACACCCGAATATACACATGTTCAACATGGTTTCACGCACACCTATGTGAATAGTAAGTTCAGAAGAAGAAAAAAAATCTAAATTTTGGGGTATCAATCTTGGCCGACCATTCTACTCAGGTGTGTAGTTTCGTGAAGGAATGACACCTAGGGTATTTTGTAGTAAAGAAAATACGATCTGACTTTACCATACATTCAAATAGTGTTTTCGAATAAAGCTTCAATTTTGTTTGTTTTTTCCAGAATACCAAGGATGTCATTTCTTCGCAAAACTTCATATGCATGAGTACCTATTATACCACTATATCTATTATACATATATAAATATACAAGCATGCATGGTAAAACTATGTACAAACAGTAGTAATCTGCAATTTTTTTACTATCAATGTTACCGCGTTACTACCATATTCTGAAAATTACTACATTTTGTACACCAGTTTACTATATTTTGTATACATTTTTCCTAGGGTGACACACACACACACACACACACACACACACACACACACACACACACATTTACTATACTCCCGGGGTATGTACGCCATGGTCAATATACCTCTTGTGTGTAGCTAGTATACCACTTTATCTTTCTCAATATAGTTTTAGTAAATTATTTTAAGGTACCATAATATGAGTAGCATGAAAGAATATCGCCAACCCCTTGTTTTTGCAATACACATTCCGTACGTACAAAAAAGCAGTATAAATGCAATCGTGCAAACTATGTAAAAAAGATGAACTTGGATTTTATTGTAGAGCTCCTGTCACGTATACGACAATTACTAATGGAGCATATTACAAATAACAAGGAGCTATAACCAATTTATCGAAGCGATATGGACTCCTTGGATTTTACGTACTTCCATACAAAATATACCTCATAAATAAACATATTATACGTCATTATAATCCTTAATGGTCTGAAATAACCGACGAACGTCACCATTCGAGTAATCTGACCGGACGATTCCTATGTTCATGCTTGTCTTTCTACTGCATTTCTTTCCCCTTGCATGTGTGAGCCTTTTTAGAGCAACTAATTGCATGCTTGAAAAATATAAAAGAGATGCATGACCTAAGCCCCTGTCTGATTCAGAATGTTATATTCACAATTAAATTCGTTGCGATGAGATCTTTGAAATTAGATCCCATGTTGGTATGTTCTGGCGGTATAATTTTGGGTCCAAAGTTACCAGGCCCGAGGTACGCAAGTTCTCATCATGTTGTTTACACTAAATTATTGAGTCATAAAAATGGTTCCGAACCTTGTCGCTCATGCATGTGCATGCATACGTACTAGAGGACAAAAATTGATGTTATCCTAAATTCTTCAATTTGAAAAATTCAAAATGTTTTGTATCTCAAACCTCTGTCTGATTCAAAATCTGTTTTCACCACTGAATCCATCACGACAAGACCTTCAAAACTTCATCCTATGTTGGTATGCCTCGGCGGCTTTTTGGCTGAAAATCTACCATACCTTGGGTACATAAGTTACCATGCTTTTTACACAAAAGTTACTAGGTATGTTTCGACAACCTTTTTTCCGGGTCAAGATTATCACAGCGTTTGTAGGTAAGTTATCATGTGGTGTGTATATTACTATGTTATTTATACAGAAGTTACCGGGGGTATGTAATCGATAAAAAATTGTCTAAGTGAAAGTTACCGTGGTGTTTGTATGTAACTTACCACATATGTGGTATGTATATGATCATGCTATTTAAACAAAAGTTATCGAGGGTACGTTTGCAACAACTTTTTTCACGGGTCAAAGTTACCATGGTGTTTGTACGTGAGTTATCAGCTCAGTAGTGCATAAGTTACCGTGTTATTTACACTAAAGTTACTGTGTGTATGTTTCAACAACTCCCGCCCCCTCCCTGGCTAGTTACCACGGTGTTTGCATGTAAATAATGAAATCTAAAGTGTGTATATTACCATGCTATTTACAAGCCATTAATGAGGTGAAGCTCAACTTAGGGTCATTAAGACAAGGTTGAATGTTCATGTCCTATGATGTACGCAGGCAATCAAATAGGTCTTGGTTGAAAAACATGTACATAAGGTTTTTGGATTAATTGATTTGGTGGATTCAAGTAAGGGTCTCGGTGAATAGGTTAAGAGTTTAATTCCCACCTCAATCACCTTTCTTTTATAGAAAAGATTAAAAATCAGCAAAAAACATGGCCTGGAACTAA